GATAGATAGATAGATAGATAGATAGATAGATAGATAGATAGATAGATAGAATTGTTTATTGGCCAAGTGTGATTGAACATACAAGGAATTTGTCTTGGTGGATATGCTCTCAGTGTACATAAAGGAAAAGATACATTTGCCAAGAGTTGTGCATCATAAGGTACAACACTTAATAATAGACATAGTGTACAATAATCAATCCTATCATACTAGGAAACAGTCAAAAATCGTTAGGATACAGGCAACAAAGTTACAGTCATACAGTCATAAGTGGGAGGAGATGGGTGAAAGGAAGGATAGGAGGATTAATAGTAACAGAAGTGCAGACTAAATAGTTGGACAGTGTTGAGGGAATTATTTGTTTAGCAGAGTGATGGTGTTCGGGGAAAAACTGTCCTTGTATCTAGTTGTTCTGGTGTGCAGTGCTCTATAGCGTCATTTTGAGGGAAGGAATTGAAACAGTTTGTGTCCCTGATGTGAGGGGTCTGTAAATATTTTCACAGCCCTCTTTTTGATTCTGCAGTATACAGGTCCTCGACTGAAGACAGGCTGTAATTGTTATTGTTTTTCTGCAGTCCTAATTACTCCCTGAAGTCTGTGTCTGTCCTGTTGGGTTGCAGAACCAAACCAGTGTACATAAAGGAAAAGATACAATCACCAAGAGTCATGCATCACAAGGTGCAGGTGCAGATGAGAGAACTGTAGAACTGTATCATATTATGTATGACTGGATTTAGGCTGGACCCAACTCTCACTCTGGACCTAATTGTAGACAATATCTTTGTTGTAATAAAAAAAGGAACAACTAGAGGAAACACATGAAACAATCAATATCTTCAAAGGAATAAAATTCACAAATGGAAGAAGAAAAGAACAATACAGTTCCCTTCCTGGATATCCTCATCAACAGAAGAAATGGCAGCAAAACTGGGCTGCCATTTTAGATTTAAATGGCACAACCTGATCTATAGGGGTCTGCCTTGGGGATGGACTTGAGGCTTTTCTTGACTCCTTGATCTCACATTGTTCAAAAGGATTTCACTGATAGTCATCAATTGAGATAGGAAAAGCTACTGGAGAGAATACCTGCAGACAGGAATCAGGTCTTGGTAAACAATATCAGTCTTGGTATTCATATGAATTTTTTTATAACACCTTTAAGCGAAGAAGGGTGACCAAATTCTTCTGTAGAGAGAGCTAAAATTTTGGAAGAGATTATTGGGCTGAATTAAAACCTAAAGCACATAGATAGATAATCCCTCAGCGTGGTCTATCTAATAAATGTGTTAGCACCCAATGAAATACATTCATTAAAATACTGATCAAGAATTATTTTGGATTATATCCCTTTATAGCTTTATTTAGAAATAACGGCTCCTGATTTGACATTTCTTGTAAGCATGCCTTATTTATCACCACACCTGTAATAAGATTTCACAGTGTGCTAAAGCAATGTGGTGGGAGTTTATAAGTTCCCTATTTCCATATATTTCACCTCATTTCTCTTAATGGACTGAGAGTGGCCTACAACTTATAGAAGTCTGCTAGATCCATGGAAAACAACACAGTTATTGGGAAAAACAACACACGCCTCTGGGAAGAACTTGAAACTCTCCAGGCAAATGTGTTTCCTGCTTTCTTTGCTTTACAAGAAAACCAAACTAAAGTGTGTCATTCTTAATTTTTTCCTGCGTGGAAGGAGTTAACAAACTACTGGACTGCAATCAGAACAAGAAAGAGCTAGGTAAGCTGGAACTCTACTGAAGAATTAGCATTTGAAAGAGAAATTGAATAGAGAAAATAATAGCGGCAATTACTTTGGCTGTGGATCAGTGCCAGCTTAACCTTTTCCAGTAGGAATCTTCTAATCTCCAGATACACGTCTTGGTGTAGATGTGCCGATCTGCTGAGGGAATCTTCTGTCAGTACTTGTCTTGCTACAAATTACTTCGCTTTAAAGCTGTAATTACAGTAATGCAGTGGATTGCTGTCTAGTGAAACCATAAAACATTTCCATCTGCCTGCCACAGCCCTGAAGCAGACCACAGACAAGTGCAAGAAGGAAGACAAAGTACCCTGAATCTGATTTAGCAACGGCTTGAGGACGAAAATAAAATAAAATGCTGTTGTACAAGGCTGTTGTAGAACTTGTTTCATATTCTCCAAAGCACAGATTAATCAGAAGTTTTAATTACAGCTGGCTTGATTAAAAACAACAACCCTTTTTCTTAGGACATTAGTAGTAATGTCCTTGTTGATTCTGATGAGCTTGTTTCTTACAATGAAGAAATCCAACAAGAGATGTCTTAAGGCCATCCTAATTTGAATTTTAGAGAATTATTGTTGAATGGGAGCAGCATGGTGGCCTAGAAGTGGTGCTCTCACCCAGGAGAGGGATTCAAATTTTTTAACAACCAGTTCTGTGGGCATGGCTTAGTTGGTGGATGTGGCTTGGTGGTCATGTGACTGGGAGGGCGTGGCCAACTCAACGCCACTCACGTTAAGGGGCGCTTATCCTCGCCTGGCCTCTCATGACTGGGGATGCTGCAACAGTCGTGAGTGTGAAAAATGGTCCTAAGTCACTTTTTTCAGTGCCATTCTAACTTTGAATGGTCACTAAATGAACTATTGTAAGTCAAGGATTACCTGTACAAAAATACAAAAAGCTTCTTTGCTTGCAAAAAGCTGCCCTAAATACTAATCATTAGATTAAAAATACTTGCAAGCCGGAGTTACAAATCAGGCAGGGTGCCAAAGCACCTTGAGGAATTAAAGTAGTTAAAATACAATGATAACTTATCAGCAGCCAGCTCTTGCTCATAAAGTGAACCCCTTTAACAGAGAGGTCATTTAAGCTCTCCAGAAAGAGCACACCCAGGAAAAGCAATCCTTAGATCCATTTGCGCCACTTAAAGATACCAGCTGGTCTCACTCATCTCACAAGGTATCCTAAGGAAATCATCCAGGTTTAAGGAAAGGTCACGTGCCCCCCAGAAAGGCAATAAAAAAATCAGTGCCAAACTTGCATCCTGCCTCTTGGAAGTACACCCCAAAAGGATAGTGCCAGATACCACTAAAGCAGTGAAGGAAGATCCCCACCCCAGATAGAAAAAGAAACCATGAGGCAGGAAAAAAAATCAAACACAATACAAATAATTAAATCACAACAGTAGCTGTTGCTTGTTAAACTATTACTAGAACAAATAGACACAGGAACTAGCCAGATTTCTCAAACCAGTTTCTTTTCAGGAACAGAGATTAATATTTTTCCTTCAAAACAAAGCTGAATAGGGAAAATTATCCCATCAATAAACACAGGATTAAATGTTACCAAGCACAGAATTAAACTTCACCCCAAACTAGTTTTAGACCCAAACTCAGAAAGGGTATGTAAACTCACATTTGAATGTCAATCTTTCTAGCTAGCCAAGAAGAAGTATTTCATGGGACTATTTCCTCCCAACAGCAACATAAAAAGCTTAAAACAACCCTTCCCCTTTAAAAAAGTATCAAGGAAGAAAAACCCCTCCTTTGGAGACAGTAAGTCTAGGCATACTGCCAAGAATGTAATAAGGGTAGAAAAAAACCTAAGGAGATTTCTTCTAACCTGCTTCTGACCTGCTTAAAAAGTCAACAAGAGGTTCTATAGAACCGGTCAGAACCGGTAGAATCCCAACCCTACTCTCACTGCGCAAACAGGAGGCTGGGAGTTTGATCCTAGGTAGCATCAGATATTTCTCTCTCTGGGTGCAAAGAGAAAACATCTGCTGTGAGCTCCGCATAGGCATCAGGAAAGGCATCCAGCCAATAAATGCTCAGCTCCATTCAATCGTCTTGACTCCACCCCGATGCAAGGGATTACAGGGTTGTTAAAAGAAAAAAAGGGTTATTGAATGAAATGAAAGAGTTTTGGTGTGATAATTAAGTTAATGGGTAAACATTATTGGAAATGGCAGATCACCATTAAATACTGTAGGCTGTAGCACTGCCAATTAGCCATTTATGTAGTTATTGAACAGGCCTGGAAATTAAAAACTGTCACCATTTGCAATTATACCTGCTTTTAGCAATATTGAACACAGTCTCAGAGCAACCCATAGGTGACTTTTAGAACTGTGTCTTCTATAAGCAAAAAATGTAGTAGTTAGTGGCAAAATGGCTCTTGGGTATTGTTTCACATCAAAAGTACCATGAGGCACACAATGTTTCTTAACAAGATTTATTGAAGACGGAGTCAGTGGGTTGCAATGACTGTGGTGTTGGCATATGAGGGAACAGTATGAAGACTGCAGGACCAGAGTAGAGGTTGAATTGCAGAGGTTTAATATGCTGAGATGTCTGGAGGTAGATGCTGGTTTATGGATTGCCCTGAAGCGATCTTTTGGGTGGACAGGTGGGGGTCCACTCCCAGTCCTTGGAGTATATCAGTATCCAGATGGGAAAGCATAGACTTAAGCTAATCTCTGACAAGACTGACTGGCTGAGGGTTCATAACTCTTCTGATGTCCTGATTTACTTCTGAGTGGAATTGCACTGTTCCAGAAAAAAAACTGGCACGCAAGTTGGGTGTCTTCCTGAACTCTCAGCTCTTGCTTGAAAATCGAGTAGTAGCCGTCGCCAAGAAGGCCTTTGAACAGATCTGTCTTGTGTGCCAGTTGTTCCTCTTTTTGGGCCAGAAGGCCCTTTTCATGGTTACTCGTGACTTGGTTACTTCATATATGGACAACTGCAATGTGCTGTTTTTGAGCTGTCTTTGAAGAACAGCAATTTCAGCTGGTCCAGAATGTGGCAGGATGAATACTTATGGGCATATCGTGCTATGCCTATGTAACATCTCATTTGTGAACTGTAATAGTTACTGCTGGATTTCCAGGTACAGTTCAAGGTACTGTTTATCATCTACAAATCCCTGACAGGAGGATGTGGCTATCACCATTCCCCCACTGTTTCTGCCTATCTTTTAAGTTCCAACAGTGTGCACATGCTCCAGGTTGCACACGTTAAGCAGTGTCATTTGATGGGACCATGAAGCATGCTGCTACATCAGCCCCAACCCTGTGGTCCTTTCAATAGGTCTTGAAGTTGTGGCTCAGACTTTCGATCAAAGATGGGTTGTGAGAAAAGGGTTCGTATATCTGATCCCCTGGAATGACCATCTTCCTTTTCTGTTATCTGTTCTTTTATTCTTTTCCCAGTATTCGATCTGTATTTGAGTTCGCGAGACCCCTTGTGTTCTTCGGGTTGCCCATGCTTACCGAAGTTTTTAATGGATGTGAGGGCGATCTGGCTGCGACATCTGTCACTCCATTGATCGCTTCAGTTTTTAAAATCCATGCCTCTTTCATGCACAAGCATGTTGTGAGAAATAATTCAGTTCTATATTTATGAGGTAAACCTATACCTTTTGAATATCGGGAAACACCTGTGTGCAGAGTTTATGTAAAAACTCCTCTCTCAGAATATGAAATCAATTATTATTTAGACATACGAACAAGAACTTGATTTGGACCAGAGTTTCAATATTAAAAAAATGATTTACTTTCTTAATATTTGATTATTTTCATTTTTCTGTCACATTGTTTATTATTTGGTGACACGTTTGGAGTTGTTGGGGACTATATTAGGGAGCCCTGTTTTGGAGGAGGACAGTGATGGCCTCAGGGCCTCATTTTGACAACTGTTTTGTGGCCTACAGAGCGCCACTTTTTGACACAAAGCTTGCAACTAGATGGTGCATTTTTGAGGTAGGAGGGGGCCCAAATTCTCTCCTCACTAAAGTGACCCCCATCTCAGAAAGCCTTGCTCCCAAATCTGCCCTCATGCAGCCCTCAGCTACAAATAAGTTGCGCTCCAGTTGACATTGAGGGAAGCATTTTTAAAATGGAGCAGAGCCTCTCTACAGTATTTGTGGGAGTGGAGGGGTAGAACATCTTAGTGGTAGAACTTCCAAAATGTTAAATCACTTTTGTTCTTTTCTTCCAGCTTGTTTGCCGGCGTCGTCCCTCGAATCTCTTCTATCAGCCTTGGAGGTTTTATCTTTCTTGGGATGTATGACAAGATCCGAAGCTTGCTTTTGTGATTTTGGTCGAGAGGAATAGCTGTGGAGCCACTATCCCAACAACTCCCTCCTTAATTCTAAGAAGAAGAAAAACATACATTCAAAAAAGTTATTCCTTTACTTCCCACGTGTTTCTGCTCCCCCCCCCCCCAATTTCTCCCTTCCCCTTCTTCTCCCTCCCATTCCTGCCTCCCGTGGCTCAGCAGCTGTTCAGCAGCCTGGACTTCATGCTCTCTATTTAAACAAGAACAAGAAATCCCATAATTCCATTTCCTGAACAAAAAAGTCCATGTATGGAGAGTCCTTCTATGGTGATGAGCTCATGGAGAAGAGTCTGCCAAGAAATTCAGCTTTGGGGGGCAAAGAACCCACTTAGGGGCTCCAGCCAAGGGACTGGAAAGCATTATTATTAGCAGTCACTTTAGGGAGCGTGATGTGCAAATGACAGCTTGGGTCTCCATAGCATAACAGCCACACATAGTCATCATAGAAATGGCATCAGAGCCACCCCAGAGAAGAAAACAGCATAGTTAAGGTGACTGAAGACTTGCCATGCTCTGGAGGACAGACGGAAGAAGCAACAAGGGTTTTTTTTTACTTTTAAAATGTATAGAAGGGGAAAAACCCATTTGTTTCTTTTTTTTTTGAAACCCACTTGGAAAATCTAGACCACTGTTCATACCTACAGGTGCATAGCCAGCATTCTTGCTTGGATAAGCAAGACTGCCTTTTTTAATTAGACTCGAATTTCTTTAGTACTGATTGAGTACAATGTTGTATTATTTTACCACCTAACAAGGTTGCCTATGAAAAAAAAAGAGCAAGCTTGGGGTTTCTTTTTCCCCCCTTTCCCATCCTTCGCCTCCAAAGAATCAGTCTGGCAGGAGGTGAAGAAAAAAAATGAAGATAACAGAGAAGGGGGAAGAACTGACGAAGGGTGAGAGAGGACAAGAAGATGCCATCTCCTGCAGGGGGCACAATTCCTCTTCTCCAGGGACAGTCACAAAAATGAGTGATCTTGCTGGAGAGGCAGAATGGGATAGTGATGGACCACAACGTGCTGAGTCCAAAGAGATCACACCACACAGGGGCAAGGTGGCTTCAGTGACTGAAGGACACTCACAAATCCTGAAAGAGGGTCAAAGTCAAAGGGTCGTAATGTTTTGATTGCATGCCACCATCTGGGCTATTTTGAGCTGTATCTCGACTCCAATATATGAACTTGACTGCCATGATGGCTCACCCCAAAGAGCTATTCACCCTAGATTACTTTTGTCTACTTGGGTTTTGCCTGATGGGTATACTTCCAAACCAAGCATTGGGTTGTTGCCATTCCGTGAGCCGTGGGAAACGCAGTGGTTAGAATGCAGTACTGCATGCTACTTCTGATTGCCGATGGCCAGCAGTTTGGCAGTTCAATCCTCACCAGCTTAAGGTTGACTCAGCCTTCCATCCTTCTGAGGTTAGGTAAAATGAGGACCCAGATTGTTGGGGAAATATGTTGACTCTGTAAACTGCTTAGAGAGGGCTGTAAAGCACTGCGAAGCGGTATATATGTGCTATTGCTATTCACTGTTTGTATTTTCAAAGAATACCTATATAGGGCCTTTGTAGGCACCCAAACCAAAAATGTTTGTATTTCATTGTGCAGCAGGCTAGCTCCAATTAGCTGCTTCAATTAAAAGAATCTAAAACATAACCCTGGAGGAGCAGAGAACCTGGCATAAATAAGAAAAATGCCCATTGGCATTTTTTTTTTTTTGCTTTTTCAGAATCCAGCAATTTTGAAAGTCCTGTGCTGACCTCATGCAGAATTTGAATGTTTTCCCTTCAGAGTTGCAGCTTAATCTGTTGTAAAGTTTAACTCCCTGAAAACACAATCCTATATTTTTTTTTTCCTGAAGTAGGCACTGTTTAACTCACACCAAGCTTATTTCCAGCCCAGGTGTTGCAGAATTGGACATAAAATGGAGATATGAGACAGGGTTGGTTTTTTTTTGCTCAAAGGAACCAACTAATTTATTGGATTTGGTGTAAATTTCTTGTCATTCAAATGACGTCTCCTTCAAGCTAAGCTCAATTCCAGATGACATACAGGGGCACAGTTTTCTGTTAATGGGTAGCCATTGCAATCTTCCAAAATAACACTTTTTAAAAAAGCCACCAGTTTATCCTACAAGTCCTAAATTTTCCAAGTAGTCCTGCATCCAAAGACTAAGTAGCTTTCATTCTTCCAATAGGAACTGGGTGATTCTGGGTGACACCAGAATTAGAGACAAGAAAGTGGGACATTGGCTAAAACTGGCAACTAAATTGCCTCAAACTGATTAAAGATAACATGTATTTCATTGAACTGGTGGAATGAATGACTCAGAAATGAGCCCTGTCCATGATCAGAGGATGTCCAAACTTGGCAACTTTAAGACTTGTGAACTTTAACTCCCAGAATTCTCCTGCCAGCGTTCTCCCGACAGGACCCCTGTCTTAATTATTCAAATACAACTGGGAGGTGTTTGGTGCTCTCCTTGATGCAAACCTTACTCCCTCCTAGCACTGATGTTGCCTAGTTGGGTAATAAAACAACAAAACAACCAAAATCAAGGAAGCACTAAGAATTCCATAGTTCAACTCTGAGCTATAAATATTTCATTGATATTCAAACAAGTTCCATTTGTCACCCTAGCCCATTATACCAGGTTATGAAGCAGTCATGGCCTTTTAAAAAGTCTTCAAAATCCAGGAAGCCCAGCAATGCAGAATTTCATTTTACTTCACCCCAAACCGAAGTATAAAAAAGTGCAGATCAATGAATCAAGGCGGAATAATTGGTATTATAAATGAACCTTTATTAAAGACACTTCAATGCCATTTGTTAAACACTTCCAATATCTTTACAACGTATTCTCAATGTACAACATTGTACCACATTAGTCTAATAAATAAATAACTTTTTACACAAAAATTAATACTTCCTTTTTTCACATTGCCTCTCAGAAGCAGCAGATTCACATATTTAGTGGAAGTAACAACATTTAAACAACCGTATCTAAAACTAAATTTTCCAAAATGTTAATATGGCAAGTGTGCTTAGCAATTCCAATGGTGATGCCTTTTTCCTATGCCTTTGCCCATTTATTTTCATCTTTACCTAGTAACCTTCTTCAACTAGTATCCAAACCTTTATAAGATCACTTTTCTTTAGAAAGCATGTCACTTTCTCTCTTTATGAACAGGGGTAAATATTTACCCTGAATATGTTTCCCTATTAGTGGATCCGTTTTCTTTAAAATCACCAAATAAGCCACAAGTTGGCACCTTATATCACTAAACACCTATTCCAAAGTGCAAGTGTGTTTATTGTCTGGAGATAGGGGGATGGTGAAATTATGCATTACTTCAGAAAGTCCAGCTTCAGCTAAAAAGCAGATGACAAAACTTGTCTTACAAAGCTATGCATCTCCCGCCAACTGAAGGAGAAGGAAGAGTAATTTAATGGCATAGTAATCAGATACTTAAAAGCTCTTTCTTACTTAAAAGGAGAGAGTATGTTTTACCCCAGGTTTCCTATTAGAGGAAAACTTTCTCACAAAATTATGAAGAAAAAGCCTTGCCCATGGCATACCAAAATCTCTGGTTCTTTCCTATCCAGTTGCTGTAGCAAAATACTAAACCTCACAATAGAGAAATAACCTGTGCCAGCTGACCTTCTAATGTCTATTTAGAAAAATCTGGTTGTTAATGTTTCTTTTAGAGTCAAACAGTCTGGTTAATATAAGAACATACCAAAAAGCTTTCTTTGGTGTTTCAGAATAGATTTGTCCCTTCCTATAAAGAAAGTGTTTTGTATATTATGTCCCTAATATGAGTTCCTGATATCCTAAGCTAAATCATGTTTCCTATCTATTTCTCTGAAACTGGCCTTTAAGTCAAGGTAAAGAAAATAAGAACAGACAGAACCTGATGCTGTCCTACAGACAATGTCCTAACCTATGCTTATCACCTTTAGATTAGATTAACAGAGTTGGAAGGGACCTTGTAGGTCATCTAGTCCAACCCCCCGTCTAGTCCTAAGTGGGAGACCCTACACCATTTCTGACAAATGGCAGTTCAATCTCCTCCCGAAAGCCTCCAGTGATGAAGCTCCCACAACCGCCGAAGGCAAGCCGTTCCACGGAACTTTAGTTCAGCCTGACCTACAATTAATCAAGTGGCGTGGAGAATGACTTTTGGGAACTACCATAGTTACATAGGCATAAATATCAAAAGAGACAGCAAAATTTTTTAAAAACCCACACGTAAGTTATAAAAACAGTTTTCATTCTATGCGCTCACATTTGTGCCTGGGGCTTAACTGAACTTAAAACAGTGTATAAAAACTAAAGCAAAGTAGCCTAAGGTAATTCATGCTTTTTAAATGATTTTCCTTGATCGATCTTTAAGTCAAAAGTCTCTCACAACATAAAGACGACCTTCAGAATTGGAGTAACTATCTGTGAACCTTAAATTCTAAGTCTGACTTGAAAAGAAAAGGAAATTAGGTGTATGTGTGTGTGTGCGTGCGCGCAAATGGATTATTCATTGTGTCAGGTTACTGCATAAGAAATATTAGCAATACATTTTGAAATCTCTATAAATGGTGTCAAGGTGCCAAGAGAAAACATTAATAAGTTCCTATGCAAAACAAAACAGCATGAGGATGTCCCCTCTGTAATTTTCTTGCTCTTGCTGCTGCTTTCTGAAGTGAGCTTGGCTGTTTAATATTGTTCCACTAGGATCATTGCTAGTGCATTGAACAGTTAATATTTAAATAGAAGTTGGGATTTACACAAGGTTGCGTGCATCTCAATTAAGGTTGAAATGGGATAGATGGGCACATATATATTCCAGATGTTACGATAGAGCAGGGATGTTTCAGTGTGCTGTCCTAAAACACTCCTACTGAGAGTTACTCTCTTCACTGGTGGAGGTTCAATTTACATCAACTAGAAACTCTGCCACTGACTCAGTCATGTTTCAAAAGGTACTACAGGTATTGAAGATGTTCTTGGAGCATTTGGCTCACCTCAACGTTAGAAGAGCAGAGTACAGTTTGCTTTTTAAGGTCAGCATCACAATCCTATGGATTTACTTGGGAGCAAGTCTATGGAAAAAAAACATACTGTACTCTACTGTACTATCAATATTTCTGAGAAGATGGTTAGACTAATGAACTAGTTCAATGTCTGTTTGAGAAAGCTGAATGGCAACGATCATGGGTAAATGACACGTTCCATCTAATCTGCTTGAAGATTCCCCCACAGATCCATGTCTGAGCCTACACAGTTCTTCAGCTTACTGAACTCTCAACAGAAGTGTCATTTGAGCATGTACACTTTTTTGAAGGTTTAAATGTTCAGTTCTTGATGGTGTGCTGTGTAGAGCACTTCTCTCAAATAGTGCACCCCTACAGTGGGGTACCATAGAAACGGCCTTTTTATCAGTGTGGTCTTCTCTATGTAAAGTTTGTGGTCCCAACCTCAAAGTTTTAACTAAAGACACCGGAGCTATTTCTCTTGGAGATGGAGTAGAAGGATTTTTAAAAAAAATCCTTAACAATGGGGAAAAATGCATATTGTCAACATTATATAATTTCACTCAATCACACATGCACCAAGGGATAAAACAGCCTCTGTTAAAAGATATAATATATATATATATAGATTTATATATTTATATATATATATATATATGAAAACTCTTATGTACACATTTGTTATCAAATACTTCTTTCACTTTACATCGTAACATTTTGCATTTCTGTGCTTTATTTGCAAGCCAACATGGAGCCACTGATCCTTCTCAGGGAAGTTTTAAAAACTATTTACAAGCGGGCATCGCAGAAACAGGGCTCTGTTCCCTTACTCAAGCTTGCTTCTCATACCTCATGGAGTTGTCACTTTTCCTTTAATTTGCAAAGCTGTCCATTCAGACTTTGAGGTAGAAGTAGCCTAGGTAATTCTGTGCAAATAAGTGGGAGAGACAGAGGGAGCATGCTCGGGGTATTTTTTGTTTCCTGGGTCCCTTGTCAGCATTTTAGTGGCTGGACTGAGGGAGAGAGGTGGGTGACCTTGTTAAATGGCCACTGGAGACAAGCCATGGCTGCACTTCTCCCCCAGGCAATGCTTCAGATAGTTCAGCACTTCCTTTTCGATGTAGCAGAGAGCCTTCGGCAGGCAATAAACAGTCATAAGGCTCACAGTTGGCCAAGGGCTGTGATAGACCTGTAAAACAATTAAAAGCAAGAATTTTTAAGGGCAGAGTTTTTAAAACTATGCTGTTATCTCTACCACCACCTCCTCTTTCTCTGTACAGAGCCCTAAATATATAAAAAAATCTAATTCTGGTTAATCTTATTTGAATCTAGGTTTTATTTTTTTCCACTCACAATTTAACTTGGGCTGTACCTGATGCCAGAGACCTTTTGCTCTAAGGAAAACCTGGACCTTTTACAGCCCTCAGGCCTTTGGCTGTCCCTGTTTGGTTCACCTGAGGTCAATTGGAAATTAGAAGTCAAATGTAGATAAACGGAGCTACAGGGAAGAAGCTCTGTGCAGTTCGCCATGCGCTCCTTCAGTTGGCTGGAGAGTGAGGAGATAAAGTGCTTTTCAGCACCTGCGCAGCACTCGCCCCTCACCTGAAACAGCCTGATGAGGCACGGCAGAAGTTATCACATGAGGGGATGTGGGCTCGGCCACCCAACACTGTCTTGGTCGAAGCATGGCCATGTGGGTGAGTGGGCAGAACACAACCAGAAGCTATTGGTTTGGTTCTCCACAACAGTCCCAGTTGCTCATGTAGTCCCTTGGGAAAATTAATTGCCCAACCCTGCTGTAGAGTATTTCTAGAGTCCATAAAAAGTGACCCAGCCTCACTAGTGGTTCTCACCCAACACAGGATTTGGAAATTTAGCTGAAATCCCTGACTTTCCTGCCTCCAATGGGAACGTTCTTGAGTAGTGATGGAGAATTGTCTTTAATATGGCTTTAGAGCTATGGCAGTGCAGTGGTTTGAATGAAATATTGCAGGCTAACTAGCTCACTGCCAGGAGTTGAACCTCACCAGCTCAAAGTTGACTCAGGTTTTCATCCTTCTGACATCAGTAAAATGAGAACCCAGACTGTTGCAGGCAATATGCTGACATTGTAAGCCACTCAAAGTAGGCTGTAAAGCACTGTGAAGCAGTATGTAAGTCTAACTTGCTATTGCTAACTTTATCAAGGCCTGCTTTAAATAAGGAAACTTTTTCAACAATTTGGCTGACCTGAACAATCATCATTCCTAGTGCCCGAGAATCAATTATCTACTTGTGCCTTTGTCTTCTATCAGAGAAAGATAAACATTTTGATTTATTGTAATCTACTCAATATGTCCCAGCGTAGTAACCGAACACTGCTTTAAAATCAATAAAGCCTGTGTATAAAGTCAGATCAGAATGATTTGTATATTTATTGGACACATAGCACTAAGAGGTAGTATATATCTTAGATCATCCTGGTTAGAACCTGTCTTGCTTATCCATTAGAGAAAGTTAAGCATTTCAAGTATTTGACCATAATCTTTCGGGTTTCTGGAAGATGAGCAACTTGGGTAGTTCTGTCACTTCTACTGCCCAAAGGGCTACATTAGCTATAACCCAGTTTTATAGACACCCTGGGGCAAATTACATTCCAGCAGCAATTAAACTAAATAGCTGTTCAACTATTGAATGGCATTCAGCCTGGCCCATTTACAAACCTAAGGGCATTGGGAACCATTCTTTGGATTCTCTTCAAGTCTCCAAAATGTGTTCCTATTGCAGTTTTGAGGCTTGAAGCTAGCGTACCAACCATTCAGGTCAGCTTGCAGCAGGATTAACTTCATCTGTCAGAAACCTGTTCGATTCTACAGAGCTGTATTGATAGACAGCTGCCAATTCTGTGGGTATATCAGACTTGAATGGAGGAATTACCCAGCCTTTCTCCTGAATATGTAAGCCAACTAAACTTTATGCAGGCCAAATCAATGTACAGTATTAGGACACTGATCATCAGACTGAATTTGATCATCAAATGTTAAGGTGCCATAAGCTCTCTATTGTAGGGTATTTACACAATCTAACCACAAATAAATATAGAAGGGCTTTTTCTACAACCCATTTTAATGTTCTTCTTTCTGCTCTATTGCATTTGTGGCTCTAGGGAGGCAGCAGCTCCTGCCAACTTCTTACGGAGTTCTTACATAAAACTTCTTACATGGTATCCCAAGAAGTGCTTTGCTCTCTCCAATTATTTTCATGTTTGTAGGTTAAACATGAACAATTTATACTAATTTTTTAAAGGAACATTAATTCTTCATTTACATTCAAGGTTACCAAATACTCTATACTGAGCCATACCACTACGCAAAACTTTGACTTAGATTTGTTGTTCTATTGTTTTACGATAATTTCTGGATAATAGGTTTAACTATAGCAATCTATTTTTTTCCTCTTTACTAAAACACTCAGTTCTCATATTCTTTGCCAGAAATATTTTGGCTTCCAACAGTCTTCCTGGGCAAAAATGCTGACTAAAAAAAGAAAAAAACAAAAAACAAAAACAAGAGCCAATCTTGGTTTCCTATTTATTTTCCAGGGTGCTCCTCTGTATTTCTAGAATAAAAACTAAATATAAGATTAAAAACTCTAAAGGGCTCACTTGAAGGAAAAGGATGGATCAATCTGAAACAGATCTTAGCTAAGGCTATCATATCTGGGCTAGAAAAATCCAAATGGCCACTAGATGGCAGCAAAGAGTACACAGTCGTACCTAAACTTCCGTCTGTCCCTCACCCACCTGCCATTTTAAATGCAGAGAGATTTATTTGTCTCTCGCCTTTTTACTTTTTAAAATAACTCAAGACAGCGAACATAACCAACACACCTTTCCTCCCCCTGTTGTCGCCACAACAACCTTGTGAGGCAAGTTGGACAGAGTGTGTGTGAGACTGGCTCAAGGTCACCCTGTTGGGCTTTCAGGTTTAAAGTGGGACTAGAACTCCCAGTCTCCCGCTTTCGTCAGATCCATTCACCTCTAGACTTAATGAGAGAGGTGAGCATGACTGACTTCCAAAAGGTAACCTGGAAAGTGTGGGAGGTATTTTAAGAAACGAACCTCCCAAAAAGGCACACATACCTTTGCTGTCTTCTAGCGGTAGCTTGCTAGGGCAAGCCGTTGACATCCTGTCATGATTGCTAGGATAAATAGTGCCGCTGACATCTGATCTTCTACTGTCCGTATTCGTGCTGCACTTCAGAGGGCTAGAACAGTTAGTTGTTAGTATGCCATCATGCTTGTCGGAGTCCTTGCTACTGGGAGTATTTGGAGTCATGGCCTCTGCAGCCAGAGAATAATAATCTGGGCTCTTGGGATAAACATTCTTGATATCCACGCTTCCATCGCAGTCAGTGTATGCGGCAGGCAAGCTATAGGCTGGAGACAGAAAGAAAAACAGATCTAACAAATTGGAATTATATTCAGGTAGAAGAAATTCCAATGGTTTCTGGAATCTACTTGCCACTCATAGATATGCCAAGTATATTCTGGGTCAATGGCCCAAATTCCCAATGAACAAGGAGGACTGGTTAGGAATTCTGGAGTTTTCAACCTAAAGAAAGATTGTGTTTCATGCTAGAGAGCCCCATTGGTTGTTCTACAGAGCTGGGCACAGTTCTTTAGAACTACAGGTAGTCCTCGACTTAGAGACGTTTATTTAGTGACCACTCAAAATTACAACAGCACTGAAAAAAGTGACTTCTGACCATTTTTCACAATTAAGATGGTTGCAGTATTCCCATGATCAAAATTTGGATGCTTGGCAACTGGTATGTATTTTGGATGGTTGCAGTGTCTGGGGACATGGGATCACCTCTTGCAACCTTCTGGCAAACAAAGCCAACGGGGAAGCCAGATCCACTGAACAACCATGATACGGACTTCACTGCAGTGATTCCACTTAACAACCATGGCAAGAATGGGAGTGAAATGGGGCAAAACTCACTTAACAAATTTCTCACTTAGCAACATACATTTTGGTCTCTATTGTGATCCAAAGTCGAGGGCTACCTATTTACATTTGGAGGGCTATGAACTAATACATTTAACTGAAATAATTATGTGTCACTGTGAACATCAATTAAAAAACCCTACCTGACTCAATGCAAAGCATTGCTGAAAGACTCTGAAGATTTATACTCTTCTTAAAGAGTATTTGAAATGACATGATCCACATATCACCCAACATTTCCACATGTCTACTCCTCATTTCTACTTTATCAACTTCTATTTGTCAATAAAAATCCTTAGGTTAGGATGGGGTGAAGACTGGATTGGTGGTTCTGGCGTCTTGGTGGAAACACAACAGTATGTTTTTATATTATATGCTTTTCTGGTTGTTGTGAACTGCACAGAATTATTATGTATGCGTGTGAGTCAGGCAGCTCCATAGTTCTTTATATAAATAAAATAATGTTTAAGAAAATATGTAAATTATACAAGGGCAGGTTTTTTTTACAGTATAATCATTATTGACAGTCTGCTATTTCATAAAAGAGATGGGAGAGAACATATCCCTGAGAAAAAGTGTTAAGAGGAACATTTTTCAAAGTCAAAATGGTTGCCTACGTTTGCTTTATGTCTACTCCCCATACCTGTCTTGTCTGTAAGAAGCATCCTATCGGGAATGTCTTCTCCTTTCCAAGACTCTTTATTATAGCCCAAGCATATCTTTGGCTGCCGGTAAATGACAGAGGGAGCATCGCCCTCTACATCCCTTCTTCTGCTGAGCTGGCAAATACCTGTAACCGAACGGTAAAGACGTTGTCTAACTGCAGGCATGGCCAACTTTTATAGATAAAGATACTCTACGAGAATGAAAGTTCATTCTCCAAGCTTCTGGGTTGGTTTCCAAACAGTTCCTTACCAGGTGAGGTATAACATCTTCAGCAGAGTTTAGGGGATATCAGTGTTCTTCAGTTTAGAAGTATAGAATAACAGAGTTAGTTGGAAGGGACCTTGGAGGTCTTCTAGTCCAACCCACTGCTTAGGCAAGAAACCTTATACCATTTCAAACAAATGGTATCCAATCTCTTCTTTAAAACTTCCAGTGTTGTAGCATTCACAACTTCTGGAGGCAAGCTGTTCCACTGATTAATTGTTCTAATTCTCAGGAAATTTCTCTTTAGTTCTAGGTTGCTTCTCTCCTTGATACGTTTCCACCCATTGGTTCTTGTCCTGCCCTCAGCTGCTTTGGAGAGTAGCTTGACTCCCTCTTCTTTGTGGCAGCTCCTGAGATATTGGGACACTGTTATCATGTCAGCCCTAGTCCTTTTCATCAGACTAGACATACCCAATTCCAGCAACTGTTCTTCATATGTTTTAGCCTCCAGTCCCCTAATCATCTTTGTTGCTCTTCTCTGCACTCCTTCTAGAGTCTCACCTTCTTTTTCACATCGTGGCAACCAAAACTAGATGCAGTATTCCAAATGTGGCCTTACCAAGGCATTATAAGAGCTTCAGGTCTGAATGTGTCAAGTGAAGGTCTAGTGATGGCTCAGCTGTGAGTTATCAGTGAGTCTTGTGTTGGGTCTTGTGATAAGGAGATTACATCAGCTCAGAGTCAATGGAGGGTGAACTGCTGATGGGAGGGGTTGTGTGGGTTGGCTGAAGGGGTTCGTAGGCTGATTGTAGGTCCATGTGACTGTTGATGGAATTGATTGTGGAGTGCCAGACTTCAATGAACTCATCAGTGTGGCGGATGCTAGCCAATGGCCAATGATTTTTGTGCTGCTCCAATTGAACTGGTGCTTTTTGGTGTCGGTGTGGGTAGAGATTAAGGATTTGGGATTATGGCGTTTGACTGCCAGCTGGTGTTCGTGGATCCTGGTTTTTGATTGACGTTAAGTTTGTCCAACTCAGAAGCTCGGACAACAAACCTTCACCTTCACCCTGCACCCAAGGTACAGATATTCACCACTATTGCAAAAGATGTTCTATTCAGAGGTGGTATTCATCAGGTTCTGACCAGTTTTGGAGAACTGGTAGTGGAAATTTTGAGTAGTTCAGAGAACCAGCAAATGCCACCTCTGATTGGCCCTGCCCCCATCTATTCTCTGCCCCCTGAGTCCCAGATGATTGGCAGGGTCTTCTTTTGTTGCCCTGCACAGGAGAACGGAGCTGGAAAGTAAGTTGGTGGAGTGGGAAGGGAATGGGATTTTGCAGTAACCTTCCCCTACCACGCCCACCAAGCCACACCCACAGAGCCGGTAGTAAAAAAAATTGAATCCCGCCACTGGTTCTATTCTCAACAGAATATGGAACCGGTGGGAAGACTCCAAAGTTCATTTGAGAGATTTAGCAGATTACATCTACGTGTGTTTGCCTAGATTACTGGTAGTCCTCGAATTAAGAATGTAACGGAGCCTGCTTGTAAGTTGCAACTGTCATAAAACAGGTCACCCATATGACCAACCCAATTTTAGGATCTTTTTGCATCAGTTATTAAGTGAATGCCATGGTCATTAAGTGAACTCGCAGGCATTAAGCAAGCCAATGGTTTGCAATGGGCCAGTTTTGCAAAATGATCATACAACATGGTCACATGACCCTGGGATTTGGCAAATGGCCATAAATGTGGGCTGGTTGCCAAGTGCCCACCAGATGACTGGGGGGGGGGGGCTGTGTCAAAACTTTGGTCATAAGTACTCCTGGGGAGGTCCATCATAACTTCAAATGGTTGCTATGCAAGGACTAATTGTACTTATGTGATTATCAGCTTTATACCTGTATAGCGTTTTACAATTAAAAAGACACAGGTAGTCGTTGATGTACAACCACAATTGAGCCCAAAATTTCTGCTGCTAAGTGAGACTTGTTAAATGAGTTTTGCCCCCATTGTACGACCTTTTTTGCCACAGTTGTTAAGTGAATCCCTGCAGCTGTTAAGTTAATAACAGGGTTGTTAAGTGAACCAGGCTTCCCCATTGACTTTGCTTGTCAGAAGGTCGCAAGAGGTGATCTCGCATGACCCTGGGACACTGCAGCCATCATAAACATGAGCCAGATGCCCAGCATCCAAATTTTGATCACGGGATCATGGGGATTCTGCAATGGTCACAAGTGTGAAAAGCTCTCACTTTTTAAAGTGATATTGTAACTTTGAATGGTCACTAAATGAACTGTTATTAAATTGAGGACTAATGATAGATAGATAGATAGATAGATAGATAGATAGATAGATAGATAGATAGATAGATAGATAGGGAGAGAGAGAGAGAGAGAGAGAGAGAGAGAGAGAGAGAGAGAGAGAG